GGCGGGCCATGCCCATGCCGCCGGGCGGGGGACCGGGCGGGGGGCGAGCCATGCCCATGCCTCCGGGCGGCGGACCACCGGGCGGCGGGCCGCGCGGAGAAGGCCCACCGACTGCGCGCATAGGAGCGACCGAGAGAGCGGAGGTGAGGTGAGTTAAGCCGGCACTGCGCTGGTGGTGGTGGATGGGAGGGGAGGGTACACGAAGGGGGTCCGGCGGGAGGCGGGCCGCGCGGAGGAGGGACGCCCATGGGAGGGCCGCGGGGCGGCGCGGCGCTGGGCGGGTCTGCAGCGACCACGGCAGAGAGGAAACGAGAGATGGAGATCAGAACAGGCCAGCAGAGCACCATTGGCGGACGGTAAGAAGGGGAGGAGAACGCACCAGCGCGGGATCCGCGGCCGCCGAGCTTGGGGATGCCGCCAGCAAAGAGACCGCCCATGGGTCCTCCGCCTCCGCCAGGAGGCGTCTTCTCCGTCTCTGTGGTTGGTTGGAACGTTAATAATTAGCACAAAAAAGAAGAAGAAGAAGAAGAAGAGAACATAAGGGTGCTGCTCCATTAGAGAGGGAGAAGCGTACTGAGGATGGGGGCGGACTTGTCGACGGTCTTGGCCTTCTTGAGGCCGCCCTTGCTGAAGCCCTCGATCGATGACAGCAGCGCGCCACGGCCGGCAGCCGGCGCGGCGCCGCCCACCTTGGCCGCGGGGGCGGGGGGCGGGGGCGGACCACCTGCGCAACCAGGTGAGTGAGCGAGTGGGCGTGGTCCAACAACAAAAATGATACGTAATATAAATAAGTACTATAAATGAGTGCTCATAACAATGCGGCCCAGAAGCAAAGAGAAGGGTCAACCGCCAGCGGGGGGGGGTCGGGTACCGGGAGGAGGCGGAGGACCACCAGCGGGCGGAGGAGGAGGGCCGCCGCCCATCATCGGGGGGCCACCTGGGCATTTTATAATTATTATTATTATTAGATTTTCTTTTAAAAAAAACAAATACATAAAGTGGTGGGGAAGGAGTACCAGGAGGAGGACCCGGAGGCCGCATACCGCCCGGCGGAGGACCCGGCGGCGGACGAGCAACAGCTGCTCCCGCCATCGCCAGTTAG